TCAAGAATCATCGACAGATCGTCCCCGACAATTTGCAACTAGTTTTGAACACTCCTCCTGTAGAGGGACAGGACGGACTTCAGAATAAACTGGAGGCCGCCCACATGCCGGAGAGCTCCGACGATCTGGTCTGTGCAGTCCCGGCGTTGTCCCTCCACCTCGGCATCGGGGGCTCGTGTTTCGGGAGCGGCCAAGAGGGGGGCGTCCAAGAGGGGGGGAGCGCAAATCATGGCCGGCGGCATGTGCGCGGCCCCGCGGGGGGGCCGAGGCACGTAATGAAAAAAGAAGAGGCGCCATGAGATCTGGGGAGATATCATGGCCCGCGCCATGATATTCACCCCCCCCTAGTCATCACCCCCCTTTTTTCCGCCCCCGAGTTTTGCCGGGCCCCGGGACCAGGAGAAGCGGATCTGGGACGAGGAAGGGACCCCAAGGGAGATGGTCGGGGCATCTGAGGCCCCCCCCCTCGGAAAAAAATCATACCCCGTCGGGTGTGTGGAACGGGGGGCCGAGCAGCCAGGAATCTGGCGGCTCCGCCTGTTCGAGACACGATGGGCCCCCGGACCCCTCGACCCCGTCCCAAGGGCCCACGATGCACCCTGAACCGTTCAAGAATGATGCCCTCGAAACCTCTTCGAGCCACTTGACTTCTGCATAGCACGATGAGGTCAGAGGATCGCACCGCATCGCCGATCGGCGATGCACCGGTGACGTCGGGATGAAGACACTTGGGCTCCGGCTCGCGCCGCATCCCCGAGGCAGCGGCGAGGCGCTGCGATCCTCCGCCCCCATCTGCACGCGCTCAGCTTGGGCAGCCTGAGGCACCGCGACCAGCTGCCGCTGGACTGCTCCGCGCCGGCAGACCAGCTGCCGCATCGGGTGGCAACTCCTGGCAGGCCTCCGCGGGCACCGCTGGGAGCCGTACAGCTCCCTTGGCACCAGTTTGGGCTTCGTGGGGCGTTCTGCTGCGACCTCTTCTATGATGTTCCCGCTGCAAGCAGCACTGGGGGTCCTCATGAGACCCTGGGGGATCCGCTCTCGCTGATGGTGCACAAGACGCGCTGTTTCCCCCCACGGCTCTGCGGGCAACGGCGAGGCTGGACTGGGGAGCTCTGAAGCCAGATCGACGAAGCAGTCTTCTGCATGTGCAGGAGAGCCCAGAATCGAGTTGATAAGTAGGATCGGCGATCGAAATGAATCGTATCGGCAGAAATCGGCGGCCAAGTCGGGAGAAGTCGAATCGGCATAAATCAACAGGCCAGCTGGCCTCCATTGAGGAATCGGCATCCTGATCGGATTCCGAAGCCGAACCGAATCGGAATCGGAGGCCACCGACATCGAATCGAATCGAATCGACTCGAAGCCGGGTAATCGAAATGAGCCCTGCATGTGTGTGTGTGTGTGCTTGCACTTCGCTCCAAACGAACGGCCCCATCGCGCTCACGAGGAGGAACGCTGCACGAGGAACTGCGGGGCTGCTGCCGTCTCGGCAACGCCGCGCCTCGGCCACGAGGAGGCTCCCCGACCCGGAAGCTTGGGAACGGCCCCAGAACCGAGAGCCCCTGCAGAGAAGAGGAGAGGGTGGAGGAAGGAAGAGGGGGAAGAGGAGGGAGGGGGGAGGGGGGAGGAGGGAGGGGGGAGGAGGGAGGAGGGAGGAGAAGGAGGAGGAGGAGGAGGAAGAGGACGAGGAGGAGGACGAGGAGGAGGAGGACGAAGACGAGGAGGAGGAGGAGGAGGAGGAGGAGAAGAAGAAAAGGGCGCCAGTCCAGCGTAAAACGGGAGGCCTTCTCGGGCGGGAGTGTTGGTTTTGTTGGGACGGGGGCTGTCGGCGGCGAGCAAGAGCACCGCCTTGAGCAAAAAAGCGAGGAAGTCTCGAGCGGGAGCGCTGCTGTTGCTGGGGGGCGGCGCCGATGAGAGAAAAAGTAGCGCGCCTGCCCAAGGTAAAACGGGAGAAAATCTCGAGCGAGAGCGCTGGTTTTGTTGAGACGGCTGCTTTCGGCGGCGAGCAAGAGCACCGGCCCTGAGTAAAAGAGGAGGAAGTCTCGAACGGGAGCGTTGTTGTTGTTGGGGGGCCAGTTTTGGCAGTCCCCCAAACCGCTTGAGAGTGAGCCTCATTTCCAGAGAAAATACATCCGGCGCCTCGGCGAGAGCGCCAGGGCGCCTTCAAAGGGTCCAACAATAATAATTGTTCAATACCTAACATTCCAGTACAACAACAACAACAACAACAACAACAACAACAACAACAACAACAACAACAACAATCATGTTGAGACTGCTCGCTCTTGTCTGCTCGCGTGTCATTCAATATGCATATCCCAAGCCCTGGATACCCGCACTCTTCGTCTTCGATCGTACCCCCTTTTGGGGGGGTATAGTCATTCCCTGCCACATGTGGTTGGTGAAGCCCTTGAAAACGAAGGGTTACAGATAACGGGGGAGAATGAGGTCCCGGAAAAGTCCGGGTCACGGATGCCCGAACTCCCGGGCGCGTCTCTGGGGGCCCCCCGATCGCCCCGGGAGCGCTCCCAGGAAGTCCGAGAGGCCTCCGAATCGCCCAAAGATCGCTCCAAGACGTCGAGGATGTCCTCCAGACAGCCTAAAAGGCCTCCAAGACACTCCAAGAACCCCCCCGAGAGGGCCACAAGATGCAAAAATCGTCGCGGTCCCTTTTGGAACATGTACATTTTAGCAGATTCGCCTCTTCGGATTTCACGTCCAAGACGGCCCAAGAGGCCCCACAAGATCGCCCCAAGACGCCGCCAAGAAGGCTCCAATACGGCCTATGGAAGCCCCAAGACGGCCCAAGAAGTCCCCAAGACAGCCCAAGAGCCGAAGACAGCCTCAGGACGGCCCCAAGACGGATCCCAGATGGGAAACCTGAACGGACATTTCGAACCGTGGGCCCCAAGAACCTCCGAGGAGGCCCCAAGAAGCCCCCAAGAGGCCCAAAGAGGCCCCCAGGGAAGCCGAAGAGGGGCCCAAAGCGCCCCCAAGAGGCCTCCAGGATTCCCCCAAGCGGCCCAAAAACTGTCTCCAAGACGCCCCCGAGAAGCCTCCCACGACACCTCATGAGCCATCCGAGTGCCCCAATGGGCCAGAGGCGTGCTAGAAACTCCTGTAGCAGGTTAACTGTATCTCTAGCTCACGCGCGCAGGGCCACGAAGGGCAGCAAACAGGCCACGAAGGGCAGCGAGAGGGCCACGAAGGGCGACAGCGGGGCTACGAAGGGCGTGCGTATTGGGCCACGACGGGCGACTGCGAGCGGGGGCCACGAAGGGCATATAATGCGGGGCCACAATGGGCAGCGACGGGGCCACTGAGGGCAGCAACGGGGCCACGAAGGGCAGCGAGCGAAGGCGACCGCGGAACCAGTACGGGCAGCGCGGGGCATCGAAGGCGGGCGAAGGGCAGCGAGCGGCGATTGCAGTCCCTAACGGGCTGGTCGGGCGGGCAGGCTCAGACGGGCGGGTCGAGCGGGCGGGTCGTTGAAGCGTAAGTTTTGCTTGAACCACCAGGCAATATGTAGCGGGAGCGCGAGTCCTGAGTGTCGAGGAGCGTACCAAGCGAAAGCCGCGATTTGGTGGTAAATTGCGAGAAATCCCAAGCGAGAGCGCGATTCTTCAATTCATTGCGAGGACGTAATACACGGGAGCCGCGATCCGGTGGTAAACTGCAAGGAAGTCCAAAGCGAGAGCGCGATTCTTCAATAAATTGCGAGGAAGTATCAGGCGGGAGCCGCTGTTGTATACCGGGGGCCAACAACCCAGTTTGACCCCCAAGACTTTCCCTGCTAAAAAACAAGGTGCGAGCCCCGGGAAGGGCACTTCAATCGAAAAAACAATGTGCATCGGACGCGGGGGATCAACAATAATTACTCTTACGAAATGAGAACTCAACAACAACAACAACAACAACAACAACAACAACAACAACAACAACAACAACCACAAGAACAAGAACCAGAACAAGAACAAGAACAAGAACAAGAACAACAACAACAACAACAACAACAACAGCAACAGCAACAGCAACAACAACAACAACAACAACAACAACAACAACAACAACAACAACATCAACAACAACAACGACAACAACAACAACAATCATGTTGAGACTGCTCGCTCTTGTCTGCTCGAGTGTCCAATGACGCGTCTTTCCCAAACCCTCGATACCTGCCCTTTTCGTCTTCGATCGAACCCCTTTTGGGGGGTATACCTGTGTTCCCTGCAGGCCGGGCCCCCGCAAGCGGCCGGGCGGCCGCGGACCATCGGCCTGGCCAGCGGCAGCGCTGATCGGCGGGGCGGCCGCGGACCGTCAACCCGACCCCAAGAGAGACGGACAGGGCACCGACCACGACGACGACGACGACGACGACAACGTCGACGACGACGAGCGAAAGCGAGAGGGAACGACAGCAGGGCCACGAAGGACACGAAGTAGGCCACGAAGGGCGAAAGCGGGGACACGAAAGGAATGCGTATGGGGCCCCGAAAAGCGCGAACGAGCGGGGGCCACGAATGGAAGATAATGCGGGGCCACGGAAAGCAACGATGGGGCCACTGAGGGTAGCAACTGGGCCACAAAGGACAATGATGGGGCCATAGTGGGCGCGAACGAACGGGGGCCACGAAGGGCATACGTATGTTCGGCCGCGGAGGGCAAGGACGGGGCCACTGAGGGCAGCAACGGGGCCACGATGGGTGACAGCGGGGCCACGAAGGGCATACATATATGGGGCCACCACGGGCGCGAACGAGCGGGGACCACGAGGGGCATACAGATATGGGGCCACGAAGGGCAGCGAGGGAGCCACGAAGGGCTGCAACGGGGCCACGAAGGGGAGCGAGGGGGCCACGAAGGGCTGCAATGGGGCCGCGAAGGGCTGCAACGGGGCCCCGGAAGGCAGCGAGGGGGCCACGAAGGGTTGCGACGGTGCCACGAAACAAAACGAGAGGGCCACGAAGGGCTGCAACGGGGCCAAGAAGGGCAGCGAGGAGGCCACGAGGGGCTGCAACGGGGCCACGAAACAAAGCGAAGGGGCCACGAAGGGCTGCAACGGGGCCACGGAACAAAGCGAAGGGGCCACGAACGGCTGCAACGGGGCCACGAAGGGCAGCGAGATCCCGATTCCTAGGCAATTTGTTAAGGAGTCCTAAGCGTGAACGCGATTCCTGGTTGCCTGGGTGTCGGGAGCGCTGCGCTTGAGTAAATTGCAAGAAATTCCCACGCAACGGCGCTATTCGTCAGTAAATTGCACGCGAGTCTCCAGCGAAAACACGACTCCAGAGCGCCGGGAGAGCGATTCCTGCATACATTGTAAGGAAATCCCGAGCGAGAGCGCGATTCCTGCATAAAATGCGAGGACGTCTCGGGCGGGAGCGGGGGTCCTGGCTGAATTGTGAGGAAGTCTCAGGCGGGAGCCGTTGTTGTTGCAACCGGGGGGCCAAGGGCCCAGTTTGGGTATCAAAAGTTTCCCTGTCAAAAAACAGGGTGCGAACGTCGAGGGGCACACTTTGATTGATAAAAAACAGTATGCACCGGTGGGGGGATCAACAATAATTATTCTTCAGAAATGAAAGTACAACCACAACAACAACAACAACAACAACAACAACAACAACAACAACAACAACAACCATTCTAAGACTGTTCGCTCTTACTTGCCCGCGTGTCATTCAAAACGAGTTCCCCACAGCCTCGACACCCGCCCTTTTTGTATTCGATCACACCCCCTTTGGGGGGAGTTTTTCTCTTTGCGGGGGGCGGCGGGCTTAGACGGGCGGCCAAACCTGAACGGGCGGACAATCCTTCGTGGGCGTACATGTGCCCGCCATTGGAATTGGTGTGGGCCCTGCAAAAGGAGGGGGGGGAGAACGAGGGAGAGTGGGAGGAAGGGAGGGGGAAGGACGAAGGAAAAGGAAAAACGCCAGGAGAGAAGGAGCGAAGAGGGGGCGGTTGATTAGAGGCAGTGAGAGAGAGAGAGAGAGAGAGAGAAAAAACAAAAAACAAAAAAAAAGGGAGGGGAGAGAGAGAGGGAGAGAGAGAGAAATAAAGAAACATGAAGGAGGCAGGCGATGGGAGGGAGAAGGGAGGAGGGAAAGGAGGGAGAAGGGATAGGACAGAGAGGCATAAGGATGAGGGAAGAGAGGAAAGAGAGAGAAGGGAGGAGAGGAGGGAGGAGGGAGGAGGGAGAGGGAGGAGGAGCAGGAAGGTAAGAGCGTGAACGTTCGAGGAAGTCCTAGGCGAAAGCGCAGTTCCTGAAGGAAGCCTCGGGCGGGAGCCCACGACGGGCGGGCGATCCCCTGACGGGCGGGTCGGGCGGGTGGGACATTCAAGCGGGATGCCTGAATATGGCGAGAGCGCGATTACTAAGTCAATTGTAACGGCGTCCTTGGCGCAGCGTGTTTCCTGAGCGTCGAAAGTGCGATTTCTTAATAAATTCCATGGAAGTCACCGGCGAAAGCGCAATTCCTGAATAAAATGTGAAGGGTTCTCTGGCGGGAGCGGGGGGTCTTGATTAAAATGCGAGGAAGTCCTGATTCAATTGCGAGGAAATCTCAAGCGGGAGGGCCGTTCCTGAGTAAATTGTGAGGAAGTCTCAGATGGGAGTGGGGGTCCTGTCTAAATTGCGAGGAAGTCACAAGCGGGAGCACCGATCCTGAGTAAATTGTAAGGAAGTCTCAGGAGGGGGGTCCTGAGTAAATTTGGAGGAAGTCTCAGGCGAGAGCCCTTGTTGTTATCATCGGGGGGGCCAGGGGCCCAGTTTGAGCACCAAGACTTCCCCTGTCAAAGAACAGGGTGCGAGCGTCGAGGGGCACACTTTCATTGAAAAAACCATATGCACCGGTGAGGGGGGATAAACAATAATTATTTTTCAAAAATGAAAATTCAACAACATTAAAACGGTCGAAGCAAATAAAAAACGTCTGTGATAAACAATTGCGCACAAGTCTGTGCGTTTTCTGCACGGACGTTCCGTGCAGGGGACCCCAGAGTCGGCGATGCAGCCACACGGCCCCGCCCGTGCGTTCCGTGCCGGGCGGCGCAGATGCTCCAGAGTGGCCACGAGGCCCGCCCGTGCACTGCGCGCGGGGTGCACCGATTCACCGAGGCTGCCACAAGGTCGCGCCCAGATTTTGCGAGAGGCAGTTGGCGCCGCATAGGCTGCGCTGCACAGATGGCACAATCTGACTTGAGTCACAAGTGCCGTAGACCGCACCACACAGGCTACGCCACACGGGCGCTGTGCAGATCGCAAGGCATCGTCTGTATCACTCATGTGCGCTGCACAGACTGCACCATAAGCACGTGACACTACTTTTCTCAGGGCCCAGGCTGGAACCGCAACCCGATTTGGCCAAGCTTAGCTGGGCCCAGCCAGAGAAGCCTGGATGAAGCCAGAATCTGCAGGGACAAAGAGATCCCGACAATGCTAACCCCCGGACCTCTCCCGGGGTGGGTTCTGACCAGAATTTCGACGAGAATCCACCCGTGGCGACGAGGGATCTCCAGGACGAGCAGCGATATCGGCATATTTTCCTATCTGGAGGGCTGCCAGAAGCCGGGGGGCCAGGGCCTCGTGCGACCTCCTGGGAATTGCAACCCGACACTGTGGGAGGGCTCCGCGTCGACGGCGCACCGCCACCACTCGAAGCTCTCGTCGGCGGCGAGCGAGGGCGGGGAACGAGAAGGAGAAGGCCTTCTCAAAGAAGGAGAAGGAAAAGGAATGAGAAGGAGAAGGAATGAGAAGGAGAAGGAGAAGGAGAAGGAGAAGGAGGGGTGGGGAATGAGAAGGAGAAGGAGAAGGAATGAGGGCGGCGGGACTTCTCAAAGAAGCCCTCGCGCCTTCTGGGAAGCTGCGCCTGTCCCCGGGGCAGGCTCGGAACACCTCTCGGGAGGCCGGGGGAACGCCCGAGCCTCCAGAGAAGGCCTTCTCTCCGTCCCGCTCACCCCCCCCCCTCGCTCGCCGCCGCTCTTGCCCCCCTTCAGGTGCAGCCAGCGCGGCCGGCCGGTGCTGGCCGTGCGGTCCCCGTCCAGGACGTAGCTCTGCCCCCAGCTCACGCGCCCGTGCTCCGCGCGGAGGGCACGGCGGCGCGCCCAGGGGAGGGGAAGCGGGGAGCGACTACCTACCAGACCACCCCAACCTGCAGGGCAGTTTCTCATACATAGGATGTTTAAACATATAGGATGCTTGACACGTGATTAATGCATGGATAAATTTATGCATGAGCTCCTCGTTGTTTTTGATACCAAATCCCTGCATCTTTAATACATGATCCGCACGCGGAGCATGTATCAAAAACGGCGCTGTACCTGCCAGACCATCCCAACCTAGCCCGAAGACCCAAGTTTAGGGTTGGGGGGGGGTACGGGGTCCACGCGCGTTTTTGTCGATATTCCCCGACCCCCCTCAGCTGGAAATCGAGGGTCGTGTTGGGCCTTCGGGCTGGGCTGGGGTGGTTCGGCGGGTGGTGAGGGAAGGGGGCAGGCCTGCTCGCAAGGCGGCGGGGCTTCTCGGAGGCGAAGCCCTCGGGTGGCTTCGAGTCGGGCAGGTGCTCCCACAGGTGGATTTGGGAGGAAGAATGAATCAATAGACAACAATGCTCAAACATAAGCCAGGACTAATAGTGAAAAATCGTCCCCAGACTGTTTCTCTAGTATTTTTGAATATTCCTCCTGCAGAGGGGCATGCCCGTCTCAAGGGCAGCTTCGGAGAAGGCTTGGAGAGCTTCTCGGAGGGCCAAATACCTCCTGAGCCTGGCGAGAATCGGGGGCGCGCAAACATGGATTGGCGATACATGGATTTGGCGCGCGGTCGCTGAATCCATGGATCGGGGAAGGTGCCCTCCCAAAAATGCAGCCAGTGCCGCCTCGCTCGGCGGCGGAAGTGGGCGATGTCCCATGGAAACGGGACCCGTCGCTAATCCACGCCCCCTTAAGCCATGCTTGCGATCGCCTGGTTCTGAGCCTGGCGTTAAGTCGGGCCTGTCCCCCTACAGGGGGATTTTCGACGAAAAATACAAAATACCCAAAAATCATTAAAAACAATTGTCCAAAAATAGTCTGGGGACTATTTTTAGTATTTTTTAACCTTTTTGGAACATTTTTGGGGGTATGTTTGATTTTTCGTCGAAAATCCTCATGTAGGGGGACGAGCCCGACATAAGCCTGGCGAGAAGGTCTCGCCCCCTCTGCCTCCCCTCCCCCCACCAGGGCGCGCCGCCGCGATGAGCGCCTTCGTGAAGCGCTGCTCTCCAGACTTCCTGGTCGTCTGCACGGAGCAGCTCGCTCCGCCCGGGTCCAGCTCCACCACGTACACGGACCGGTTCTCGTCGCTCCAGACCTGAAAGAGAGGAGGGCATCCATAGGAGGAGGAGGAGGAGGAGGAGGAGGAGGAGGAGGAGGAGGAGGAGATAGAGCAAGATGGGGAGGAGGGAGGAGAGAAGGTGGAAGGATGAAGGGAACGATGGGGAGGTAAAGATGGAGGGGGGTAAGAGGGTGAGAAAGAGGAGGAGGAGGAGGCGGAGGAGGAGGAGGACGACGAGGAGGAGGCGGGAAGATAAGAAGGAGCGGGAGGGAGGCGGAAAGAGAGTGGGAGGAGGGGGAGGAGAAGGCAGAGGAAGCGGAGGAGGAGCAGGAGGGGGGCGATGCACACGGCAGGCTCCCGAAAGGACACGGAGTGGGCTCTGATTCCGGCCGCCGCGGGAACCGCCTCAGCCCCTGCACGACCTGCGCCCTCGGGCCCCCAGGCGGGCCCTTCGGCCTCCCACGCTCGCGCACGCGCTGCCGCCGCAACCGAAGCGGCACGTGCCCGCCGCGCCAAAGGGGGCGCGCAGCCAGGCTCGGCACGTCGAGGCTGGCTCCGGGAGTGCCGCGGAGGAGCCAGGAGGGGACCCCGGGGAGAGCCGAGCGGGAGCCCCCCAGAAGCCCCGCAGAGGGCCCATGGCAGCCCCAGGAGGGCCCCCCAGAGGGCCAGGGGGAGGAGGAGGAGGAGGAGGAGGAGAGGAGGAGGAGGGACGAGGAGGAGGAGGAGGAGGAGGAGGAGGAGGAGGAGGAGGAGGGCCTCCAGACGGGCCGAGAGAGCCCCAGGTCGGGCCGGGGGAGCCCCAGGAGGCTGCCGGGGCAGCCCGGGAGACTCCTCGAGCGCGGCCGGGAGCGGCCTGGGCGGAACCCGGCGAGGCCTGGCCGCGGCCACGAGGGCGCCCCAGGGCGGAGGAGTAGGAGGAGGAGGAGGAGGAGGAGGAGGAGGAGGAGGAGGAGGAAGGGGAGGAGGAGGAGGAGGAAGCGGAGGAGGAGGAGGAGGAGGAGGAGGAGGAGGAGGAGGAGGAGGAGGAGGAGGAGGAAGGAGGAGGGAACAGGAGGAGGAAGCGGAGGAGGAGGAGGAGGAGGAGGAGGAGGCCTCAAGAGGTGCACGGGCTCCCAGGTGTCCTGGAGCCCCGAGGCCCAGGGCGCGAGCCTGCCATATGTGGAGCGGACTCGCGTCGCCGAGGGACCGCGGCGCTCCGACGGCGCAGGTCGCGCCGTGTCTGACGGGCCTCGAGCTCATCCCTGCCCCTAAGATTGACAGGCCCGGGGCGAGGACCGCCATGGGCATGCGCCCTGAAAAAACGGGCAATCCTTGGGCTCGACACCGAGAAAAGGTGACCTCGGCCTTTGATTCGCAGTTTGGGGGCCCCTGACCCTTTGGGAGCGGAACGAAGTTAACAGGACCAAAACAAGAAAGGATGGAGGGCCGTTTCAGCAGATGTGCCAAACCAAAACCACCCGTGTTGATTATCCCAAATGCAAAGACGGGGACCGAAGTTAGGCTACGTCTTCACGGGGTTATTGGGGTCAGGGCTCTCAGTGGAAATCGATGAGGAAGAGGTGGAGAGGGAGGAGGAGGAGGAGGAGGAGGAGGAGGAGGAGGAGGAGGAGGAGGAGGAAGAAAAGGAGGAGGAGGAGAAGGAGGAGGAGCAGGAGGAGGAGCAGGATGAGGAGGAGGAGAAGCAGGAGGAGGATGAGCAGGAGGAGGGGGCTGTCATTATTCTCGATGAAAATCGGCCCACCCCTGGGGCACTGGCAGCAATCAACCTCGAGCGCCCCCAAGGCTGCGGCTGCCGCCGCGCCAACGCGGAACGCAAAAATCCGCCGAGGGCCACCTCCGCTCGAAAAAGCAATCTCCTGACCTGAGGCGCAGCCAGGACGAGGACAAAATCGGGCGAGGATAACACGAGGCCCCAAGAAGCCTCCAAGACGACCCCAAGAAGCCCCCCCAGAGGCCCCCACTAGGCCCCACAAAGCCTCCCGGATACCCCCAGAAGCTCTCCGAAAGGCCCCAGAAGCACCCCAAGAGCCCCTCATATGCATTCAACAGTCTCCTGACCCAGAATATAACTCCTACGATCGCCTCAAACACTCACTCCTTGTGGGGGTCGGCGGGATGGCGTGAGCCACTTGAATAAAATCGGGCGAGGATGAATCGCGAACCTCTGAGATCCCGCAGTTCTGAAAGATCTCTCGGGCGCCGCGGCCTTCTCGGATCCTTCCAAGAACCCTCTCAGAGCGTTCTGGAGCGCTCTGGAACGGCTCATCCTCGTCCCAGCCCCCGTCCGAAGACCTCTCGCCGACGCTGCACCACCCCGTTGCCCGAGCTGCGCCCAGCCGTGGCCACGGAGAGGAGGGAGAGAGGGCACCCCGAGGCGCAAGGGCAGGGCCGCCCGGAGCCCTCCAGAGGAACCGCGGCGGCCGCGGTTCCTCTGGAGGGCTCTGGGCGAACTCGAAATCGGAATCGCGAATCGGAATCCGGGAATCGAGTCGGTTCGAAATCGGAATCGCGGAAATCGATTCGAATCGAACTGGCGGAATCGGAATGACCCCTGCGGCCTGCCGCACTTTCTGCTCTCCCGTGTCGGGCACGCGCTGACACGGAGCAGGGGGCCCGTGGATCTGGCGCGTGAGCGCCAGCTCCACAGATCGGGGACGACGACGACGACGACGACGACGACGACGACGACGACGACGACGACGACGAGCAAGGAAGACGACGACGAAAAATGACGACGACGAAAACGACGACGGCGACGACGACAACGACGACGCCGACGACGACGACAGCGACGCCGCCGACGACGACGACGACGACGACGACGACGACGACGACGACGGCCGCCCTGAAGGTCTCCAGAGGTCTCCAGGAGGCCTCTGGAGGCCCTTCGGGAGAGCATCCAGCGAAACATGAGGCCAAGGCCGCCTGATTTGACGAGCGGGCGCGCGGAGGTCGTAAGCAAAGGGAACCCGTCGCCAACCCACGCGCACGACTCGGCGTGAGCGACGAAGAGAACAGGGTCCTGCGCAAGATGGCATAGCGACCTTACGCGGTGGCTGACGCGGGCAGCCAGCGCAGCACGCGACATGGGAAACGAGGGCGCTTGCGGCGCGACCTTGCGCGGGCAGCCTGCGCGCGGACGCCTGCGCAGTCGAACCTGTCTTTCTGCGTCGCTGGCGTGTTCTAC